CCCCTGTCCCCCGTCCTTCCCCGAGCTGAGAACTTAGCCTCATATCCAGCAGCTTTGCCTTCTCTGGGCTCTGTTCTTTGACCTATCCTAACTGGGTTCTTTTCTTCCTCCCTCACCCCTTCCAGCTCTTTTCTGGTGTAGCTCATGGCCATGGTGGTGAACTCCATCAGCAACGGGTCCTAACACACAGGGAGCGCCTGGGTGCCAGGTGTCCATCAAACCCGGGCTGGCCTCTGCTCCTCCTCTCACACAATCCCCCCAAAACTTGCTTGGCTCCACTTTATGGATGGGGAAACTGAGGCTTAGAAGAGCCACCCGGGACTCACCAAATGTCTTCACCTAGAAGGCAGCTGCCCTTTCTCAGCATGCACTGTGCTGGTCTGTTATGGGCGCTCACTGGACACAACATGGTGGAGCGAGGCTGGGGGACTAGGGGGGCTGAGCTGCCTGCCTGCCTGGGCCTCCACCGCTGTGGGTTCTGGGTAAGGAGAAGACACTGAGGAGGCGGCCCATGGGGGTCTGTGGTCTGCTCTGCCACCTGCCCCTCTTCAACACGGACTACTTAGGGCACCTGGGTGGGCATGGCTTCCTGTCAGGCTCGCCTCTGCCTGCTCTGGCTTGTTTGTGCCTTGCCTGCGGCCTCCTCTCTGCCAGCTCTTTCTCACGGGTGTGCAGTCTGGTGTGCTCCAGCCATTGCCTCTGCTTCCAGCAGTGGTCACACTTGGCTGAGTTGGAGGATCCAAGCTCTTGGGAGTCGCCACAGACCTGACGGGACGGGACAGGCCTCCCTTTGCTGTGGGCCCAGTACAGGCACAACTGACATGAGGGTGCTTATTGCTGGGTTATCCCTGAGGCTATCCCATGTCACCATGGCGGGGGGGGGGGAGGGATAGCGTTAGGTGTCTGTGCTGTGTGTGCCCCACAGGTAGACTCAGCCCACCGAGCACCTGAGCCTTGGAGCTGGGCTGAGGCCTCCAGGGGACCTGCCCTCCTTGCTCCCTGGGGCTTTGGGGGGGGGTCCACAGACAACATGTGTGTAGCCATCAGCCCCTGGGGAAGGGTGAGTGCTGGGTAAACAGGTGTTATTTGTCTAACAATGGGTGAATGGCTGAAAGGCTTTCAAGGGCTTGGATGAAAGTTGAAGCCTGGCCTGTCCAGAAGAGGAGAGGAGAGTCTCCCATGTCATGGTCGGCAGAGGCCACCCAGACGACAGAAGATCAAGAAGGGGACATTCAGAGTCACCAGTAACAGAAATGGAATGTACTCAAGCTTGTGTGAGTCCTATCAGGAGGGTCAAATTCAGCAGGCGGCTCTGCAAAATGTGGGGGGGCAGACACTGGAATTCCTAACCAGCCTTGGGGCAACGAGGTCTGGGTTAGATCAGGACCAAATCAGCCCAAGGACACAGGCCAGGGGGTCCTCACAGCACCCTGCTGGGGGGGGGGCTCTAGGGGAAAGAGAGGGGAGGTCCAGGCTGAGGAGCCTCCGCCTGCAGGCAGGAGGGGTCTTTACCACTCTGCTGGGTGACAACAGGCAGAATACAATACTGTGCAGCTCAGTCTGCAAACTCAAGGCGATCACCCTGGAATCAACTTTATTTTCTGAGTTTTCACATAATTTCATTTCCAGACGCCCCCTCTGGGAGGCTGGGAAAGTTTCATCTCAGTCCTCTAGAGCATTCTACGAACTGGAGGTTTGACTGTGATTCTGCAAACCCACACAAGGTCCACTGTCTGGGTCCTGAGCTCCTTTGAGGTTGGGCCTTTGTGTAGCGGAATGTGTCACACCAGGGACAGGACAGTCTTCCATTGTTCTGACTTCCTTAACCCAAGGTCACAGCACAGAGACCTGTGGACCTGGACCACACCTGCAGCTGTAGGGGTAGTGATGGTGGTGGTGATGGTAGTGGGGTGTGTGTGTGTGTGTGTGTGTGTGTGTGTGTTGTTCTTTTTCTCTCCAATTCATTTATATATGTGATCTTCATTTAAAACTTGGGGTATCCTGCATAGAAATCCAGATTTCTGGCTTCTCTTGGAAAAGCAGCTCTGGCCACATTAGATTCACATTCTTACCCTGTCCTAAGTCAGCACCGTAAAAGCTGACAAACAAGACAACCACACATCCAGAGGTCTTTCCAGGGTAGGAGTTCTCATCTTTGATATACAGCTTTGCCATAGTAACTAGGACCAAAGAGACACCTTGAGTGAAAGAGGCTAGTGTAGACCTGCTGTTGCTTGTGTCTGGGCAAGCCTTGAGGATGGGGTGGGACCCCAGCGTATGGCACTGGGATGGGCACTGTGAACTTCCTGGGCCTTCATACACCCATCGTGAGATAGAGGCTGAAGGCCAGTGGAGTCATGCGCCTCCTTGTTCTCTTTCCCCACAGCTTCCTCTTCTCTTTTGGACATTACTTCAAGGCTGTTTCCTTCGGGAGGCCTTCCTTGACCTCCTCCTTCACAGTCAGAATTTAGGGCCCTTTTTATAAAGTGCCCCCAAGTTCATGAGGGTAGCAGCTGATTGGAAAATTCTCCATGTCCTTCTAGCAACTACCCAACACATGACTAGGGAGATTTGACTATGGACCCGGGCAAGTGTTTTACACAACGATGAGATATGTGGATAGCCACAAATTTGATAGCCACAGTTGGCTATCAGATATGGCCAGTGTCAATACAGAGAGGAATGAGCTGAAGTATCTTCATTTACTCATGTTTTACTCTCTTCCATAAGGGCTTTTCCTTTTTGGCTATCTTCTTTTAACCTCAAGAACTCCCTGTACCAATTTTTTTGGGGGTAGATCTGTTGTTCAGATTCTTAAGAATGCCTTGGTTTTTCCCTTCAGTTAGGGTGTTTGTTGTCTCTGGAAACAGAATTCTGGGCTGATGGTTCTTTCCATAATGCACTTGAGCCAATTCTCTCTAGCTCTCATAGTCTAGGGTAAGAAATCTGCTGTCATCCGAATCATTTCCCCTGAGACCAGCATGTTTAGTTTGCTTGAATTAATGAATGAATAAAACACTAAACATCAGGTCTGGGACTCTGGGCAAGTTGCATTCCTGGGCCTCAAGTTCTAGTGTGAACAGGTGCTGTACAAAAGGCCTAATCAGAGTGGTAATCCTGGCTACTTGGGAGGCTGAGATTGTGAGGATCATGGTTCCAGATCAGAAAAGTTCAGGAGACTCCATTTCTCTATAGGAAAGGTGGATGTGGTAGTGTATACTTGACATTCCAGCAAGGATGAGAAGCCCAAAATAGATGGACTGTACCCAGGTTCACTCCTGGGCAGGAAGTGAGGCCCTTTCTCAAAAATAACCATTGAAAAACAGGGCTGTGGCTGAGAGTGAGGCCTGAGCGGTAGAGCACCCACCAGCCTAGCAAATGAAGTAACAGAGTATCAATACATCCAGCAACATAAAGAGCCTCTAGAGCATCCTGCTAAGTGAACACGGCCAGACACAAGTACATATGCATACTGCGTGACCCCCGTTCCGTAAGTTTCTAGAAAAGCTTGTATTGAATCAGTAACAGTCCAGCAGGGACTTGATGGTAGGGGAGGGGACTGACTACAAACAGGCCTTTGGGACCCTTGGGAATGGGGATGGGCGTAGAAATGCTCAAAGTCTAGATCCTGAGGATACTTGCACAATGATACCAATTTAAAGCTCTCTGAACTGGCTGTAACAGTGGCCGCTTTTGCCATCTGAGAACCATAGCAGAACAGATCATCAGATGCAGCAGGTCTGAGAAGAGACTCTACCCCGACGGCTCATCCTTGCATGTGGCTGGCCCCAGCCCCTGAGCCCTTCCATCTCCTTCCCCTTGAGTTGAGAATAGTGCCTGCTTTGCCTGCCAGTGACTTCTGTCTAGCTCCTTTCCCATTGGCCGTTGTCCTGCATTTCCAACCTGCTCATTTGCACTGTTGGGGCCTTTGCTTTTTTATTGTTTCCTGATGTTCTTTGCTGGGAACAAGTTTGTGTCTTATCATTTATGGCTCATCTCAGAGCTCTGTGGCAAAGTAAAAGAAAAAAAAATTATCCAGGTGCATGAGACCTCTGGGTATATAAGGTATACCTTATATACCTTTCCTTCAACCTCAGATTATTTCAGAATAGGAAATTCACATGCTTTTCAGGCCCCAGAAGGTTTGCTTTGTGACTTAAATCTGAGCAATGCTCTGTTTCTCCTTCAGCAATATTCGGCATGGTAGAATGTTCTCTGAGGTAGATGTTTGCCCAACAATGGAAATGGACCTAAAGTCACCAAAATAAGCCCTTCAAAATGGTTAAGAGGGGAAGTTTTATGTCACATGCATTTTACCATAATTTTTTTGTGTATGTGTGGCAGTCCTAGGGCTTGAACTCAGAGGCCTGAGCACTGCCCCTGAGCTGTTTACAGCTGAAGGCTGGCACTCTACCACTTGAGCCACAGCTTTACTTCCTGCCTTTTGGTGGTCAGTTGCAGATGTGTCACACAGATTTTCCTGCCCGGGCTGGCTTTGAACCATGAGCCTCAGATCTTAGCATCCTGAGGAGCTAGAATTAATTACAGGCATGAGCTACCGTATCCAGCCATATTTTTTAAGTAAACCATTAATTAAAAATATTGCTATCAAGCCTGGTGCCAGTGGATCATTCCTGTAATCCTAGCTACTCAGGAGACTGAGATCTAAGGATTACTGTTCAAAGCCAGCTGGGGCAGCAAAGTCCCTGTGAGACTCTTATCTCCAATTAACCACTCAAAATCTGAAAGTAGCACCATGGCCAAGTGGTAGAGTGCTAGCCTTGAACATAAAAGAGGCTCAGGGACAGAGCCCAGGCCCTAAGTTCAAACCCACAACCCACAACAACAAATTCTTATCAAAGAGTCAGAATGTGCTGTGTGTACCACTTTTTTCTTTCTCATGGCCTCCGGTCTCAGGGTGGCACCTGGCTTTGTCACTCCTCCTACTCCCTCCCTGAAGGAAAAAGCTCATCAGTCCCTTGTCTCCCTGTCCCCTGCAGGCACGGCAGGGCTTTATCAAGGCACCAACGGGCTCGGCAACGCAGCTGGATTCGGGGGCATGCACCAGGTTTGTTGGTTTCTTCCTCTCCATGCTCCCCAACATGGTATATTCCACAGCTCTCCCAAACACACACTGTCCCCACCAGAAACTGGCCTCGGCTCTGGCTTTGGAGGTTCCAGGGGCCAGATTGTGCAAAAGGCCAGTGGAAGGATCTACTAAGAACACCTCCAAGATGTCTGGTCCTGCCCTGAGCCCCAGGCAAGCGTGAACCCTGTGAGTATAAGCATGTTCTTTTTCCAGAGCCTGGGCCTCACCAGGCAGTGGTGTCTTGCTGACCTCACCCTGTGCTGAGACCCCATACAGCATGGGCTTCACAAATGCAGTAAAACCAACCAAGGCCAGTTGGATATTGACCATCATTGCAATTCCCTCCATTCCCTTAGAGTGTCTGTTAAAATTCACCAGCATAGGGCCAAGCATGGTGGCTCAAGCTAAAATCTTAATCATTTGGGAGGCAGAGATCAGGGATCATGGTTCAAGGCCAGCCCAGACATTAAAATTTATGAGGCTCCATCTCATGCTGATGGATGCTCATCCCAGCGATGGGGTAAGCACATCAGCTCAGCACAGAAGCTCTCACCTGTCATCCCAGAAACACAAGGAAGCAAAAATAGGAGGAGTGCAGTCCAGGCTGGCCTAGGCCTCAAAATAACCAACCAACACAAAAATGACTGATGGAGAGGTTCACGCGTGGAGTACTTCCCTAGCATGTGTGAGGCCCAGAATTCAAACCCTAGTACCCTGCCCCCCCCCCAAATTAATCCTCATAATCCCAGCCCTTGGAAATCAGAAGCAGGAGGGTGTTGATGGCGAGTTCAAGGCCATCCTGAGCTCTATAGTGAGACCCTTCTCAAAAAGGGAAGGGAGAAGGGGCTGGGAAGGTGGCTCAGTGGTAGAGCGCTTGCCTTGCATGCATGAGGCCCTGGTTCGATTCCTCAGTACCACATAATCAAAAAAAAAAAGCAAAAAGCCAGAAGTGGTGCTGTGGCTCAAGTGGTAGAGCGCTAGCCTTGAGCTGAAGAGCTGAGGGACAGCGCCCAGGCCCAGAGTTCAGGCCCCATGACCGGACTCCCCCCCAAAAAAGGGGGGGAGAGGTGTGTGGGCATGCCAGCTACTCCATGCATACCTATCCTGTGAGTCTAAAATTATTTCTAAACAAAAGGTTCATGTAAATCTGAGCTGTCCTCTAGTTAATCGTGGACTGAAGAATCTAAACAACTTGACTTGGAAAATACAAAAGCTGTGTGAAAGATTTTTGTAGATATCCAGCGAACTGAAATCTAGCCAGCTTAGATAAAATGCTTACAAGTGGAACAGTGCTTCAGAAGGGGTTCCTAATTCTGAATGTTTATCCATTTTACCATAAGACCTTCTGGCAGCAAAGTCCGCTGGAGATCTGACTCCCTAGGCCTGGGCTGAGCCCAGGACCATGAATTTTCTAGGTGTGTCCCCTGAGGTGGACAGCCGCTGGCTGCTGGCTAGTGGTGGCCGGGTGGGCATAGCCTGGTTGATGGGGACTGGGGAGAGCCTGTGACCACTGCTAAGCTTGACCAAAGTGAATGGTATGACTGAATTGGGCTCCGTGACTTCTGAATAGAATGTTCTAGATGCAGATGCTCTGCAGGGAAGGTCTGTGTGCATCTGTTTGGCTTAATTGCAACCTCCCAGCATAGGTAGTCTCCTGGCAGTCTTTGTCGTTCCTTGATTTAGTTCATATTTATGGAATTACTGAAGATGCCAGGCCCTGTATTTGTTGCTAGGGACACACTCCTGTCCAGCAGGGTCACCTGCTGACCTTCTGCTGCCTTGGCTGCGTACACAGGGCAGGCAGGGAGTGCCAGTGAGTGGCAGTCCAGGAGTAGCCTCAGGAAGGACTGGGCTGACATGCCAGAGCTCCAGTGCTCTGCCCCCCCAACCCCCCCATCCCCCCCCCAAGAGGCAGACCTGAATGGGCTTTTCCCTCTTAGCAGGACCCCACACACACACCCTCGGAAGAAGCGATGCCCAGTGCCCACCCACTTCTCTTCCCCCCACTCCTGAATCTCCTCTTCCCACCCCTGCTCTTGGAGTCTGCCTCTGAGAGCCCAGATGGGGCCAGGGACAGCCCCTGCTGCCCCAGGCTTCTAGTCTCCTAGGAGACAAGGTGGCCAACCCCGTCAGCCCCACTCACTCCTTCTTGGTTTTCGATTTCTCTTTCAGGACTATCCCTCCTACCCCAGCTTCGCTCAGAGCCAGCACCCCCAGTATTACAGTGCGTCCTACAGCGCCCCCTATGTCCCTGCCAGCAGCATCTGCCCATCACCCCTCTCCACGTCCACCTATGTCCTCCAGGATGCTCCTCACAGTGTCCCCAGCCAGGGATCCGAGCCGCTGGCAGGTAGGTTGTCACTGAGGTCGTCCTCCACAGCAGTGGTCTCAGCCCCCCGAGGAAGGAGGGGCCTGAACCCACATTTCCACTGGGAGGAGTGGGTTCCATCCTCAGATGTTTTAACCTCTGTGCGTGTGTGTGTGTGTGTGTGTGTGTGTGTGTGTGTTGCATCCATGTTTAAAAGTGGAAAACTTTTGCCTGGCACTGGTGACTCATGCCTGTAATCCTAGCTACCCAGGGGGCTGAGATCTGAGGATCACAGTTCGAAGCTAGGCTGGATGGGGGAATCCGTGAAACTCTTTGCTCCACTAAACTACCAAAGAAGCTGGAAGTGGCACTGTGGCTCAAGTATTAAGAGTACTAGGCTTGAGCAAAAGAAGCTTGGGGACAGTGCTTAGATCTTGGGGTCAAGCCAGGACTAGTGCGCGCGCGCACACACACACACACACACACACACACACACACACATCCATTCACGCACAAGAGCCAGGTAAGCCAAGCACAGTAGCACACGCCTGTCATCCTAGCTGCATGAGAGGTAGCGATCAGGAGGATTGTGATTCCACTCCAGCCCAGGCAGAGAAGTCCCTGAGTCTCCTCAACAGAAAAAGTTGGGCATGATTGTGGATACATCATCCCAGATTTTGCAGGAAGCTGAAAATCAGGAGTATCACAATCTGGGCATATACTCAGGAAGGAATTGAGATCCTATCTCAGAAATAACCAATGCAGAAATTGACTGGAGGTATAGCTCAGTGGTTAAGCAGCTGTGTAGCAAGAGTGAGACTCTGGGTTCAATCCCTGGTACTGCCGAAAAGAAAAAAAAATGTGATTTAGAGACATATCTGTGCTAATACATCCTCTGTGAACTCTTATCATAGCTGAGAAAGATGCAGAACCTCATGTAAATTTGAGCTTGAGTTTTTCTGTAAGTGTAAGTGGTTTGATGCCCGTTTTTGTGGGAAACGGGGATCTGGAGCCTGCTTTAGCAGCATGGACACATTCTCATCTGGAGCATATGGAGCACTTACTGAGACAGTCTCCTCTTCGGGCCCATAAAACAAGTTTCCGTACGTCCAGCAGAGTCAAAGCTGTCAAAGTGTGTGCTCTGACAGCAGCAGAATTAAATTACTAATAAATAGCTGAAATACTTCTGGGACATTCCCAAATGTTTGGAAGCTCAATACATACTTGCACATAATCTATGAGTCAAAGAAAGCATGAGAAGGAAATTTAAAGGTACATTAAATTGAGTGAAAATGAAAACACAGCATTTTGGAATTTATGGAAAGTCATCAAGCAGTAGTTAAAAGGAAACTAAATGCCAACATTAGAAAAGAATATAAGTTATAAATTGGGCGCTCACACCTGTAATCCTACTTAGGAGGCTGAGATCTGAGGATTATGATTTGAAGCCAGCCGGGCAGGAAAGTCCATGAGACACATCTCCAGTTAATCACTGTGGCTCAAGTAGTAGAGCACTAGCCTTGAGCAAAAGGAGCTCAGGGACAGTGCCCAGGCCCAGAGTTCAAGTCCCAGGACCGGGAAAGAAAGTAAGGATGGAAAGGAAGGAAAGAAGGAGGGAGAGAGGGAGGCAGGGATGGAGGGAGGGAGGAAGGTTGGGAAGGAAGGAAGGAAGGAAAAGAAAAGAGGTTACAAGCCAAAAACCTCATCTTACACCTGAAAAAAAAAAAAAACTAGAAAAAGCCAGGCATTGGTAGCTTACATTTGTAATCCTAGTTACTCAGGAAGTTGAGATCCAAGCCTTGATGGAGAAGTTTGTAAGACTCTTATCTCCAGTTACTCAGCAAAAAGGCAGAATGGAGGTGTCGCCCAAGCGGTAGAGTGCTAGCCTCGACTGGAAAAGCTAAGGAAAAGCTCCCAGGCTGTGAGGTCAAGCCCTGGTACTGGTACCAAAAGAGAAAGAAGAGCAAATTAAACCCAAAGCAAACAGAAGGGAGGCATAACAAAGGTCAGAATGGAAATCAATGAAATCTGAAGACAGAAACACAGAAGTAAATTGACGCAGAGGGAGTGGTGACACCGGGGCCCGTGCTGTGTGCCACCACGGGGCAGTCTGTCTCTGTCTCTGTCCAGGGGGAGTGGTGACACCGGGGCCCGTGCTGTGTGCCACCACGGGGCAGTCTGTCTCTGTCTCTGTCCAGGGGGAGTGGTGACACTCAGGCCCGTGCTGTGTGCCACCACGCTTCAGTCTGTCTCTGTCTCTGTCCAGGGGGAGTGGTGACACTCAGGCCCGTGCTGTGTGCCACCACGCTTCAGTCTGTCTCTGTCCAGGGGCTCACACTCAGACTTCAGATATGAAGATCATTACATAAAGTTAATTATAGCTCTCCAGAGACCCCTCCCTTGCTTCCTCCAAGTTCTGAGACCTTCAGTACGTAGCAGCTCATTTGTGTAATGTCTGTGGGTGTGGTGAGGTCTGGGATCCCCAGTGCCACGGGACAGCGTCAGCTCTATGGGTGGAGGGAAGATGGTGACCGTGGCAAATGGCATGCCAAGAACGGTTTTAACCCTGTGACCTTTGCCCCCTCAGGCGGTATTTGGGGTCTGCCTCTTTGGAGCTGGAGGATGTTATTGGGGACCCCTGTGATATTTCCTGGGGAGAGACTCCCAGCCTGGCCTCTGATCCATCCTCATCCTCTTTCTTACTCCAGGTGAATTCAACACCCACCACGTACCTTCCACACCCCCAAAGGAGGGAGATCCTGACAGGCCGCCTCGGGCCTCCGACGGGAAGCTCCGGGGCCGCTCCAAGAGGAGCAGTGACCCCTCCCCAGCGGGGGACAGTGAGATCGAGGTGAGGAAGGGCTGGCTGCAGGGTGAGCAGATGTCTGTGGCCAGGGATAAGTGAGCTCCCAGGGAGACAGGGAGAAAAAAGCTCAGCCTCATGGAACTATGCTGAGAGAGCAGACTCGGGGAGGACGGCCTGCAGCTGGGAGGGACAGGATGGATGGGACACTGCCTCAGTGGCCTCAGAGCCCCTGGTGGGCCTGCTGGACCCTTCCCAGAGTCTACAGTAGGCAGGGGTCAGAGTTCACGTGTGTGTTACAGATGCCCAGGGGAAGCCGATGCCCACACTGCCCCTGTCTCTCTGCCCCAAGCCCCTGGGAAAGGCAAGGGGCAAGGCCTAGCTGGATTGGCTGGTGTGGTTCAAACACCTGGTGCTGTGGCAGAGTCCTCAGAGTGCTTTGTGGACTACAGGTGCCCCCGCACCCCCCCCCCGTGCTCCTCTGAAGATGTGGCAGGATGGAGGAGTAGAGGTGGGACTGGGGTGGCTTTCAAATGTAGGCCTGCTAGGCATGGGGGATCACGCTACTTGGGAAGGAGAGATTAGTGGATTGTGGTTCAATGCTAGTCCAGGCAAAAATGGTTTGTGAGACTCCATCTCAATCAGTGGCAGGTAGGATAGTGACCACTTGTTGTCTTGGCTACAAGAGAAGTACAATGCCTAGGCTTAGTGACACAGGCCTGTCATCTCGGGTGACATAGGGAGGCACAGGAAGATTGCAGCCAGGCTGTCCTGATAACCAATGCAAATACAGGCCAGAAGCCTTCCTAGCAAGTGCAAGACCACGAGTTCAAATCCCAGCACCACCATTCCCCCCGCTCCCTCCCCAAAATACTCAGGTACCTGGAAGCATCTCAGATGCCTTTTCAGCCTTTCTGTGTTCTGTGGTCTCGGGTTGGATCCTGACCCAGACACATGTCACCATCACCTTATCCTCAATCAGCACTCTAAATCCTCAGGCAGCGCTCCAGATTCCTGGGGAGGAGACAGGCGTCTACCCTTCACGTCTTCCTGTAGCCCAGGCAGAATGCAGCCAGCCTAGGCCTAGGCCCACACTTGCAACAACGAAGCAAATGAAGGGGAATGCACCAGATGCTGAGATCCCCGCAGAGTGGCCGCTGATGTGCAGCTAGCGTCACCGCGTGCTGGTCACCGCAGAAGGCATGACACGTTTTGAACAAACACCGTGTTCATTCCTGATGACTAGTGAACCCTCTGTGGGACACCAGCTGGGCCTCTACTGGGCAGTCCTCCTACCTCAGCCTCCCCGAGTGCTGGGAATGTGCCACTGTGTGTGCTGCCTTCACTTTTGTTTTTGCTTTTAATTTTTGTGTGTGTGCATCTGTGTGTCAGTACTGGGGCTTGAATTCGGGACCAAGATGCTGTCCCTGAACATTTTTTACTTGAGACTGTGCTCTGCCACTTTAGGCACACCTTAGCCACACTTCAACTTTTTGCTTGTTAAAAATCTCACATGACTTTTCTTCCCCTGGCTGGCTTAGAACCCCAATCCTCAGCTCTCAGCCTTGTGAGTAGCTAGAATTACAGGTGTGAGCCATCAGCACCTAGCTTCCCCCATTCTTAAGAACACATCCTCCAGTGAGGAGAGCCTGTTCAGTTCTGTCAGGGACTTTGGATCTTGGCCAAAGGCAGGAAGGAAATTGGCCAGCTGAAGTTGCCGAGCTCTAGAAAGCACAAAGCTGCTCGAATACTAATGCCCTCCCCCCCCAAAAAAAACCCCATTCAGTCACCTACCTTTACTCCTGCTCCTGGCCAGGGGTAGGAGAGGAGAGACATGTTTCCATGCAACTGAGATGGAAAAGGGGGGGGGTGGAAGTCGGAGACCTTGGAGTGGTATTCTTCTAGAAACATCTGCTTCTGCTTCTCCATCCCAGAGTGAGTGCCACTGGGTGAGGACAGCCAAGAAGTGTGAGCCTGGCTTCACCCTGGGCTTAATGTCAGTGAGGAGAGCTGGCCTGCATGGCACCATCTAAGAGTTTGGCACTTCTGTTCATGGGCGAAGCCCACAAGAGAGAAATAAAGTCGAAGTAGAAAGGAGGGAAATTCTGGGTGAGTGTGGGTTCAATGCCTGCAATGGTTTGATTTGAGCTGGCCTAAGTGAAAAAGCAGAACTATTTGAAGGCCCAGGGACAAGGGTACAGCAGAGAGTCAACGAGATACTAGAATGGGACAGAAATGCACATGTACCTTCCCTTCCCACAGGCCAGAGAAAGTTCTAGAAGCATGGTGTCCTTGCACCAGTCCAGCACTGGTGCCCAGCCAGCTCTCCTTTGAGCCACCTGGCCCTACCTCACTGGACTGACAGGGGTCCTGAGAAGAGCTGGCCTCCTGCACACCCACTATTTGTTCCTGCCCTTCTGAGACCCCCGTCCCTCCATTCCTACAGCCACACAGCCCCCACCACCCTCAGAGATACTTCCTTTCTAGATTCCAGGTTTCAGTCTTCCCCCTGCAATAAAGAAGGTCTGGACACACGTGTTCCCAAGTGTGGAGGCCTGGGAAGCAGAGTGAGGCAGGATGGCATTGGGAGCCACGCCCTGAGGGGATTTAGCTGGAGGCAGCGTGAGGCTGAGATCCAAGGATCCTGGTTTGAAGCCAGCCCAGGCAGAAGAGTCCAGGAGCCTTATCTTCAGTTATCCACCAAAAAGCCAGAAGTAGAGCTATGGCCCAAACGGTAGAGTGCTAGTCTTGAGCAAAAAAAAAAAAAAAATTGCTTAAGGATTGTGCCCAGGCCCTGAGTTCAAGCCCCAGGACTGGTACACACACACACACACACACACACACACACACACACACACACACACACACACACACACACACACACACACACACACAGCATCTGTAGCTAAAATCTCTAAGTTTAACTGATTCAAGCTGTCTAGCCCGATGCTTTAAGACCTAGTGTATTGGAACCCCAGGAGGATTCTTCTAAGATGGTGGCTTTATAGAACTTAAAATAAGAAATATACTCAATATGTGACCCACCCCACACATGCATTAGAAATATCACCAGACCAAAAAAACTGCAGCTCTATTAATTGCTTCCCGAACCTCTGTACTAGAGAACCTAGGAGGTGAATTTGCCTTTTGTATTCTAGAAGCTTCTCTTTACTTCTAACAGCATAGCACATGCCATTGTATACATATAGCATTAGCCTCCAGAGAAATTTGAAAAGTGTCTATTCCAGGAGAGACTTTCCCCCTCAACACTGGCTACCAGAAGGAGGAGGAGGAGGAGGAGGAAGAGGAGAGGGGGGAGGAGGAGGAAGAAGAAGAGGAGGAGG